TGGCTCACTTGATTGAGCATCTGACTTCGGCTCAGGTCATGATCTCACAGTTCACGAGTTTGAGCCCCACATCAGGCTCTGTGCTGACGGCTCAGAGCCTGGAGCCTGCTTCAGATTCTGTGTCTCCCTCTCTCTCTGCCCCTCTCCTGTGCACGCTCTCTCCCTCTCTCAAAAATAAATATAAAAAAAATAATAAAAATTAAAAAAACCTTAATATATCCATTCCATAGACTCATATGCAGTCATTAAAAATAAGAGCTGCCATCGATCAATAAATGATGAGAGTAGGGATAATGGAATATTGATAACTGATAAAGATAACTAGGTAGGTTCACATACATTGACATGTAAGGGTGTATAGGACACATTATGTAGAACAAGATCCACTCTGTGTAAGGATGTGCTATATGTAATATAGATACACCTACACAGAGAGTAACAATCTAAGGGGTGAAAATCCTGGTAATGGGTGAGGAGAGGTAGACAAATACTTCATTTTCCTTCCTTGTACTGACTGAATTTACAAATGACTTTTATTACTTTGATTCAAACACAAACATCATAGTTGACATTAGAAAATGCTTGGGAGTGATGTTAAATGAAAAAAGTAGTATCATAACTAGCATGAAAATGCACTGGAACTAGACAAATATCAAAGTGCTAACAAGATTACAGGTTTTTAAAAAATACTTTCCAATTTTCAATAAATTGGATATATGACTTTTATTGCTATTTAGTACTAGAAATGTAGTTATAATATTTTTATATAACAAAAATATTTAAACACAACTCTCTCAAACCAGGATTTGTCCCTCTCCCCTCCAAAAGAACAAAATGAGAATGTTAAGGGACTGTACAGGTAGAGGTGTGCAGGCACACACACACAAATGAGAGGACCAGAAGCTGAGTTTTATTCTGATTCCAGGAAACCGGACAGTCTATGGCAGAGTGCACCGTATACCTGAAAAGTACTAAAGTGAGAACAAGCTTAAAATAACAAGGCTGAATCATGACCATGAAGAAATGGATATAATATACATTTAAAAAAAATTTTTTTTTTCAACGTTTATTTATTTTTGGGACAGAGAGAGACAGAGCATGAACGGGGGAGGGGCAGAGAGAGAGGGAGACACAGAATCTGAAACAGGCTCCAGGCTCTGAGCCATCAGCCCAGAGCCTGACGCGGGGCTCGAACTCACGGACTGCGAGATCGTGACCTGGCTGAAGTCGGACGCTTAACCGACTGCGCCACCCAGGCGCCCCTATACATTTTAAAACCAATCAGCTTACCGGAAATTCAAAAACCGATGTTACTAAACTGTGCTTAAATCTATGTATTTAACCAGAAAGGGCCGGTTGGAAGTGCTGAGTGTCTAGTCAACAGGGCCAAAAAATGGTGCAATACTTCTAGCAGATGAGATCAGTGTTGACTTAGGTAACCAAAGAAAGCTTCAGGGAGAGGTAGGATTGGAGTGGAACCTGAAAGAATGGCTATAGGTCCTGAATAAACAACTATCAAAGTTCTGAGACAGGAGTGGCCAGTGAAGACCAATACTATTGTTCTATTTGTGAATTATCAAAGTTTCCGTTTCCTGAAGCATGACTAATCAGGTATCCAAACCAAAGGCTCAACTTATGATGTATCTCTACACTGGTAAGAAAGGAAAATCCTCAGAGGCCAAAACTCAGGCAAAAGCAGGGAGACAGGAAATCAGCAAGAGCTGACGGAGACAGCTCCTCCATCTGTTTACTGACCTTACACTTCCATTTTGAGGGGCAAGGGCCCAAGGGCCAAAAAACAAAGCCTGAGGCCCTAACAAGGAGGGGGTGCTCACAGGACTCCTGAGCATAGAGGATTACACTCTGCTGAAGGACTGGCTAGAAAAAGCAAACAAAACTTAAAAAAAAAACCAACCCTCACTTCTACATAATCTTTTCTCAGTCTTGGTGCTCTTTGGAAGAAGAAAATTCTCCTCCTAAAATACATAACCATAAGCTGTCCCCTCTTGTGAATTTACAGTGCCAATGCATGCTACCTGAAAATCAATCTAAAAAACTTCTCAGGTTCAAATTAAAGTGATCCCAGGGGCGCCTGGGTGGCTCAGTCAGTTAAGCGTCCTGCTTCAGCTCGGGTCATGATCTTGCAATATGTGAGTTCGACAGCTCAGAGCCTGGAGCCTGCTTTACATTCTGTGTCTCCCTCTCTCTTTGCCCCTCACGCACGCATGCTCTCTCTCTCAAAAATAAATAAACATTAAGAAAACAAGCGGTCCCAGACTGGCAGTACCCTCCAGAAGACTATCCTGACTTCTAGTTCAGGCTCACTTCCATTATGTCATGCATATTTTCTCAGTGTCTAGAGTGTGCCAAAATCATTCCACAAAGAATTTACTGTGGTAGAGGCACGTTCTGTGCTATAGGTATACATAGGTCATTCTGCTATAAATTATGAGAAGAATTAGCTTTTCAAATAGCGTGACCCTTAAAATATCTAATGACCAGGTAAGTTAACAAGTATTAGAAGTCAGTGACTTAAAAAAAAAAAAAAAAAAAAAAAAAAAAAAAAAAAAAAAAAAAAAAGGCAACAGACAAGCAAGAATCAAGAGTCTAGTGCACTTCTCTTGTAGACAGAAAGACACGTAAGAGTATCTTTATGATTTCTATTTGCAAAGAGAAACATGGAAGGAAAAACCAGAAATAAATAGGGGGTAGATTGGAACAGAGCAGAAGGGATGGGAGCATATACCTTTCTACAGAGTTTTGACTTCTGAACCAAGTTAATGTTTCTACATACTCAAAAACGGAAGATTAAAAACCAGAAAACAAGAAAACACTAAAACTGAATACAAATAGAGTCAAACAAACCCTTAAGCCGTTCACCAAACCCTTAAGACAGCTAAAAGGAAAGAACTGAAGGAACTTTTGAACTTAGTATTCTGTATACCCTTAGTGGGATATACTGTAAGGACAGAAAGGACTTTGAAGAAATTTTGAAAGTTACCCAGTTTGTTATTGGTAGTGATAGGTAGTGACCTAATTCTGAAACCATTTTTCTGTGTGTTACATGACAGGGCGAATCAATATATACTAGTGCTCTTGAGAACCAGGTTGTTCACCGTGTGGAAAAGGAAATACAAGACGGAATAGCCTTGCGGTGCTGGATATCAGTTAGAGTTATCAGCGTGAACTCATGATTAAGAGAACCACATACATACATATGCATACTTCCCAGCTCTATCCACTGGAAGCAACGGTACCCACAGTAGTGAGCACACTTCCTGCCCACATTCTGCTTTCTAAGTACTATTCCCTATCAAAATGAACCAGGGTACTTTGGAGAGCCTCCAGGTCTAAGGTAGGCACAAGATGAGTCAAAAGAACATTCTGTTGTGCTAGAAAGCAAGAGAAGGATTAAAGACTAATGGGGACCTGTCAAAAGGACATTGGACTTGGTTTGCAGGGCTATTACCCAAACTGGGGACAAATGAGCATGAAAAACAAAAAACAAACCAAACCAGGAATTAGTGGACTAATAACACCCTGTAGTTGGAAAAATTCCACTAGTCTACAGTGCTATGTACACATAAAAATGAGACAGAAGGAGAACTGTGCTTTACAGGAGAATGCTAGTAATCCTTAAGAGAGGACTGAATTGGAAAGTCACCATCTTGCAACCAGCAATATGATAAAGCAAGAATCAACAATGGAGGCCAAAAATGCTTAAATAAAATATTACCAGGGAATAGAATAGTCATGTGGCCTCTAAGTATCACTCCATAGATTGCTTACTGATTATAAAGAAAAAAACCCTGCACCTTTAAAATGGAGAGATCTGGCCAACAGCACCTTAAGCAAAATGAGTATCACTAATGAGACAAATGGCAACGCAAGGTACACACCTGAGGTTGTTTTGGTAAGCATATTTGATCTGAATCTAAACGTAAGGAAACAATCAGGCAAATCTAGGTTGTGGGTCATTCTAAAAAAAACGTGGCCTGAGGTGCCTGGGTGGCACAGTCAGTTAAGCATCCAACTTCGGCTCAGGTCATGATCTCATGCTCCGTGGGTTCGAGCCTCATGTCGGGCTCTGTGCT